GTACCCAGTCTGGTCGTCAGTGACTTCATTTCCCGCTGTCATCTCCCGTCCACTTCGAGCCTTGCGCCACCTTACACATGGCAGAGTAAACAAGGCCCTCCTAGGTAAGCGGTGACCAGGCATACGTAGCACGTGCCCGAGCCAACGCAACTTATTCAGTGCTATCTGTCGTTCCAGGGAGGTAGTATGAATTTCACTACTTAGTATTCGCCTACGCACATCATCGTTGCGGACACGCTGGTGCCATCCGACACCAGCAATACTTCGCAGACAACGATGATCAAAGACTTGAAGGCGCCTCAGAGCTTCAGACCGAAGGGGCCAAGTCTCATTAAGATAGAGCAGGACGGCCCTCACTGTGGACTAGTATACACGGCTTTACAGACGGAGGGGAACTCCCTCACCAAAGATGCCGCAGTTTCAAGATGGCAGCTCTGGACTTTGCAATGCGTGAACTGACTAGTCTCTATGCGCCCATCGTTGCTGACGCAGCTGTCAAGATAAGTGAAATGATCAACCACCTCGAGTTCCTCGTTAGCAAGGGTTAAGGGGTCATAAAGTGTCTGGTGGTCTTGCAGCAACACTTTGCACTTTGAAGGTGCAAAGCGCATACTAAATATTGGGACTACTCTGGACAGGCTATTCAGGGTTGATTGCGCTGCCGTAACATCGTCGAAAAGCAAGACGATATCGTCTACATAATTAGAATTGACTAGCGTTCCTCCATACAGGACCTCAACGCCTACATGGTGAGGTTCCGTAAGGGAAAACTTCGTGCTAGGATCCCCGACGAAATTAAACAAAAATGGGGAAATCGGACAACCCTGACGAACGCCAATTGTGGTCAGAAAGTTTTCCGATAGGCCACCGTAGACCCTGACGCGACCGGTAGTGTCCGTGTGTAGAGCACGTGGGATGTCCATATATTTTGTGGGATTACCTTTGCGCGCAAGTGCCGTATTTTTCGGACTATAAAGAGCACCTAAGATTTTTATGTTTGCTTAGCGAAATGGGCATTGCGCCGTATATTCCGGTGCGTTTTATGTTTGAATGTTTGAACGGAGGCCTAGTGACTAATCGTTCTCTATGTTCACACTGCGCTGCAAAGTCTGTCAGCATGTTTTATTTCGATAAATTGTCAAAGCCCAATCGCTGGTCGGGAGCCTCGTGGAGTTCGTTTTCTATGTTGTCTCAACAGACTTCTTTTGGGCGGTGACGAACTCTGTGCATGAACCAACTGCTTCCATCGTTCCTGGCGGCGATAAACCAGCCAACTATTCAACCGTTCACGCTGATGGTTACTCCACCTGGCAAGCTCACTTTGTCCAACAAGGCACCTTGTAAACGCTGTCCAAACACGTACCTGTATTTCGTTGCTTGCAGGTGTGTGTTTGAACACGCGACCTGTGCTTACCCCAGTGTTCCAAGGACGTGAGCTCATCAAGACGGTGTGAGCTTCACGCACATCATCGTCCAAACTGAGGTTTTTGGATAAACAACTGTAACCTACGTCGTCGTGCGTGTACCACGGAGTGAGTAACAGTGCACTTACAGAGAAATGTGTGATAACATACAACATATGAAGTCAAGTGCAATCGCATTTTTTACCGTCAGTCGCATGCTGGCGATCAAGGCAAAGCTTGTTCGCTTACCCCTACCACTTTTCCTGCTACGTACTGTGCTTCAACATACCGGTAATTAAGGACCCCAAAATGATATGCTTACGCAGTGGATTTCAAATTCAAGGCCATCAGCCACCCAGCACAACATGGGAATAGCGCATCTGCGAAACAATCCAACATTAATGAATCAATGGTATGTAAAGGGAAGAAGCAAGATGACCTACGCCAACTAAAGAAGACAAAGAAGAGTTTCCGAGGGAACAAAGCAAGATGGCCACAGTTAGAGGACAAAATTGAGCAGTGGATTACTGAACATAGAACAGCAGGTAGAAGCGTCTCTACAGTCTATTCGATTCAATGCAATAGCGATGACACGTGATATGAAGATGAACGACTTTTAACGATGCCCTTCTTGGTGCTTCTGTTTTATGAAAGGCTGTTATTTCTCTATCAGCACAACAACTACCACAGCGCAGCAACTGCCAAAGGATTACGAAGAAAAGTTGGCCATCTTCCGCACTTACTGCAAGAACAAGATCACCGAAAATGAGATCCAGCCAGACCACATCACAAACATGGACGAGGTTCCTCTCAGCTTTGACATCCCCGTGAACCGTACTGTTTAAAAATCAGGGACGTCTACTGTATCTGTACAGGGAACGAGAAATCATCCTTCACTGTACTTCTCGGTTGCCAGGCTAATGGCCAGAAACTACCACCCATGGTCATTTTTAAGAGGAAGACTGCCAAAAGAAAGATTTCCTGTTGGGGTCTTCGTCAAGGTCAACCCAAAAGGCTGCATGGACGAAGAGAAAATGAGCTAGTGGCTGAGAGAAGTTTACATCAGGAGACCGGATGGCTTTTTCCACACATCTCCGTCATTATTGATCTACGACTCCATGTGCGCCCATCTCACCGAAACTGTCAAACGCCAAGTGAAGAAAACTAATTCGGAGCTTGCCATTATTCCGGGAGGATTAACCAAACAACTCCAACCGCTAGATATTGGTATTAACAGGGCATTCAAAGTTAAATTGCGACCCGCGTAGGAGCACTGGATGCCAGGTGAGCACACATTTACCAATACAAAGAGGCAACGCCGGGCTAGTTACGCCAATATCTGCCATTAGATCGTCGATGCCTGGGCCAAGGTATCGGTCTCAACCATCGTCTAAGCTTTCACGCAGGCCGGAATCATCAATCAACAGTAACGAGACTAACTCAGATGATGATGAGAGGAATCCGATCTTGTTTGATTCAGCTATCGCCCAACTGCTAAACTCCGACACTGAAGCTGAAGAATTTGATGGATTTGTAGAAGAGGAATGGTTGAAAAAGTAAGTGTATTTTTCTGTGTTTTATGTGCGTTACAAGTGAACAATATTGACAGTTATTGTTAATGAGTTGAATTAAGTCTGACCTATCCGACTCTTTTGTTTCGCTCTATACGCTTTAAAATTCGGTGTGCCTTATATATGAAATTAGGTCCGTTCACTGATACTGTGTCTTATGATCCGGTGCACCTTATCGTCCGAAAACTACGGTAGTTTGAACAGGATGCATTGATCCATTGAATCGAACGCACTCTTGAAGTCGAGGAATGCAGCTGTTGTCGGTCTGCGGTATGCGTGGCGCTGTTCTAGCACCTGCCGCAGAGTGAATATGTGGTCTATACAGCCATGTCCTGGGCGGAAACCGGTCTGCTCTTCCCTAGTCCGCGATATTCACTCTGCAGTGAGGCGACGAACGAAAATCGAGGCCAGTGATTTTGTCACAACTGGTGTTAAGCTAACAGACGCGACATTACTCTCGCCCTGAAGGACAGAGTTTACAACGCAGCCGTCCGTTCAACTCTCCTATATGGTTGTGAAACTTGGCCCATCAGGTCGACAGACATGAAGAGGCTCGTCACATTCGATCATCGCTGCCTTCGCAGCTTAGCTCATGTCTGGTGGGAACACCTCGTGAGCAATGAGAGTGTTCGACGTCGCGTATTTGGTGCAGGAAGAGCGAGTGAACCGCTCAGCGCCATTATATCACGCACCAGGCTCCGATGGTTGGGCCACGTTTTGCGCATGCCAGCACACCGACTCCCGCGACGTGCATTGTTTGCGCGTTGTGGGTGCGGTTGGAAGAGGAGGAGGGGAGGCCAAGTGATGACTTGGTCGAGAGAAATGAAAACCCTCACTTCGAAGTTGGCGTCGGTTGGTGCATCCCGACTGCCTGGCTGGGGTCCTAAGGACGGTGAGCACGTTTGGTTGGACACACTTGCTGATATGACTCGGAGCCGGCACCAATGGCGTTTGTGTTGTGGTTTGCTTTGTCCATCCCCCTCCTGTTTAGTATCCCCCTCCAATCACGATCTCACCTGTTAGGCATAATGCTATTCTCTTTTATGGCAGCCAGCTGTTAGCTCTCCGGAACGATGTCCATCCGTTACTGGGGACTCAGCGGGCGTGCCACTGTTTTCCTTTTCTTTTCTTTTGTATTGCAGCACAATAGCTGAGGGGTTTTTCCACCTCCAACTAACGTGTAATGATGATGATGATGATGTTAAGCTAATACCTTTGTGGTTAGTACCATCTGTGCGACTGCCTTTCTTGTATATTGCCACCGACCCGACCTTAGTGATGTTTATGTTGTGAGTTTCTTTGTCCTTCCCCATCCCACTTCTCCCTCCAACCACCAACTTTCTCTCTTGACCCATAAGATGTATCACTAAGCAGTGTGTTTCCTGTTTTCTATTTGCATTCTATAATGTTTTATCTTTTACTCCTTCCTTTATCTTTATGTATTGCTGCACAGTAAGTGTATTTTTCACCTTCAACTAGTACGTAATGGTGATGATGTTAACTCTGCTTAATCACATCACCTTTCCGTGTGATCAGTAACGTCTTGCGGTCACATCGTTTAGAGTGGTTGCCTGGACAATATGATGAAGAAAACCACAATGATACGACTGGGTTTCTCCCTGCCGCTCGCGTTACGCTCGATGGCTTCTTAGAATTGCTGTTCCTCGCTCCTTCTTTGACAGGGTTTTAGTATCAGCAAACGCCTTAACTTCCCAGGGAATCAACAGCGCTACTTAATTTAGCTCTTACGTGTTAAGTCCGGCAGTCCAACCCTTCTCCAACTCTATTGTATACTTGCTGTTTGTCGATTCTCTACCCGGTCTTGCTACTGGTGGCCGCTGAGACACAGATTGAGAGTTCATCTGTTTTCTGCTCTGTAAGCGTTATTCACTTAGCTGGTTAGAATATATTACATCACGCTATCATACAGGTTCAGCCAACTAGTTTTTACTGGGTCATTAAGCACTTCTCTGTCATCTGTTTCCATATTGAAGCCACTTTACGTTGTTATTCTTGAATTTCTTAGGGAAACAACTTGTCAATAGAAAAGTTATTGGCCCGGACGATTGCTGCTCGCGCTGAGCAGATACTACAAGTGAGTCGCTATGACATTGCGTCTTTTGTTTCAGTGCGTTACTTAATTTCTCCTTTCCCTACCCAGTCTTGATCCAGTTCGACCATCCTCCCTCTATCCTTCCTTCCTTTTTGCTGCAAACAGGACCTGCGACAGGAGCTGATGGTTCTCAGTCCCGGACCCGTTCGACTGGCCGACTCACCTCTGTGTCTGTATATGCCGCTCCTATGGCCATCTCATCCGCAGGAATTCCTGCAATTTCGAGTTGACCCTGTCCATGGCACCCTCTCTGTTACCTGTCCGTTTCTTTTGACTCCTGAGGCAGAGAGCATACTCGTTGGATCCCCGAATGCTGGTCAACCGGGGTCGACAGCGTCATCCGATGGGTATTCACGAGGTAGTGTTTGTGCCGCACTTGCGTCTATTGAAAGCGCACTCAATCGTCCTTGTGCCAGACGTGTTTCTCCTGTTCTCTCAGCTACTGCTGATCAGCCGGCTAGTGAGCGTTCCCTACTGATAGTGCAGTCTCGCAGCTTGAGAAATTTGTCCTACTCCGACGCCCGATGGCGCTCCCTGTTGTGCCAATCGTTGGAACATTTGCGTCTTTGTGTCGGATTGATGCGTTTAATGAAAACAGCCAAGGCGCTGTGTCCGTTCTGGAAGTCAGTCAGACGTTCGATTCCTTTGGTGCTCACTTCCCTGCAGGCCTCCATGGCTAAGGACCCATCGTCTTGGCCCGCCACCCTTGCCCGGTTCCAACAGTCCTCTCTTTGGCCCATCGTTTTCGTTAAGCTATTCCCAAACAATGAGTACTACGTGGTCTGTGAGGCGGTTCCCGCTCCACTGAGCGTCACCTATCGATACTATTTGCTAGTTTGTGTGGTCTTGTCCGATCACATGGATATCACCGTGGATTCCTCTGGACTATTGGTCTCCAACATGAACCCGAATTGGCTGGGGTCCAGTCTACAGTCCAACGGAACTGGTTTGTATCTTCAGGTGACTCACTTCGTTCCCATCGAAATAGGTTCCGTGTGGTTTCACAACCCATCGTCCTCCGTAAGTGAACACACTTGTCTGCATGCCTCGCTCATACCTTCGTTCTGCACTATACACACTTCTGTTTCCAAACTGTTTGAGTTCGACTGTGTTTGTGGCTCAAGCCAGTTTGGCGTATCGGTTCTTTTTACTTATTAGTGAATCCTCTCCCAATATAATTCTATGTTTACACTTTTCACCAGCCGTCATTGCTTGATTTTTGCTGTCATTTCAAAATCACCAGCAACAACAGTGCGGCAGTTCTTCGTTCTGGCACCCTGCTGGGTGATGAGCTCGCAGCTCTGAAGAGCAACCGTGGGAAGTGGGCCTGCACTTCATAACACTTGTAAACTACTCGCTATCGTGTGGTTATATCCTTTATGCCTTTTGCGATCTCTTGGCATCTACTCCGGAATTTCTCCATTTCATTTTCCTGGACCTTTTCATAGCGAACGAAAACTGGTTACTCAAGTTTTTCAGCTGGCAGTTGATGTGTTCGCGGGGCTGGGCAATTTTATTGCAGACGTTACGTCAACAGTCGGTGTGATATCATCGGGGTATTGTTACGTAACGTGTCGTGGCGTAGCGCTTTAGAAATTGCCTAGCTCAGGGAACATTTCAACGGCTACCTGAATCTTTTCCTGTTCACCGATACCGGTTCTGTCGCCCTACATGGACGAGCTAGTTGGTTGGCAGCCGATAAAGCCAATCCGGATGTAATTGGCTATCATACTGCTTCGTTCTGTCTATTTACTGGTCAATACTCTAAATTGGCAGTCACTCTCTTGCCCCAAGTCAGTAGCTTATCTAACCGAAGCTTCTTGGAATCCCACTTATTTCCATTCTCGGCACTCGATATTCTTCTTAGTTGTCAATTCTGAAGTCCTGCATCAATAAGGCCCAGGTGAACCTGGTAAAGAAAAGAACGTCCCGAGTCGCTGAACTATTAAATCGAATCAAGAGTGGTCGTTCCAATTTCACTCAGTCCAATACTGCTGCGAGCAAACTGGGTGCAGCTGCGGCTTCCGAATCCTCACTCATGTTCACTCAGCCCACTGTCCCTTCGCTTTCAAGATTGCTAGGCATGCTTGAAGAGAGTATTCTCAGTCACTGTCTTGCGTTAGAAGTGAGTGGTTCACTTGCATTTCAACGTGCCCATTTATCTCATCTCTTATTGTATGTTCACAGTAGTGTCTAGCCACTAAACGCATGTTACTCAATTGGTTGGCTGGTTGTCACTTGCACTTTATTTTGTTTCACAGCCTAATGCAGCACAGGAACCGTCGGTGTTTATTGCAACACGTCATTTTGACTACGTGGACTGCACCTCCCTCGTATTCAGTAGTAAACGACGTTGAATTGGTTGGTTTGCACCACATTCACATAGTTTGCGATATGCTTTGCTTGTCAATCTTTAACCTTGCGTTTCACAACACCTCTTTGTCAGCCCATCTGACTATGTTTTCAGTAATAATTGACATGTCTTTATTATCTCACCTACCATATCATTCGAGTACTTTGTTACGGGGTTCTTGTATGAGTCCTTTCTGAGCCTATGCAGGCCATTTTCATTCTCCCTAAGTTTCCAGCTACTTATCTTACGTAACTGTTGACATGAGAAGCCGTGACTCTAGGGGGCAACTCTGCCCTTACAGTGCACGTGACTTGCATGAGTCGCGCCATATCGCAGTTAACTTGTAAGTCATGGCTATATTACGCCGTCACCCGTGGCTTGGTGTTACAAACTGCTGGTTAGCTATACTCGACACAGGCACCGAGATGTCAGGGGTTCGGTTTTTGATAAGGCCGCGCGATGTGCACCACTGGTGAATCCTGAGAAGGCGAACCAGCTGCGTGGTGCTTCCCGGTATCTCTCACTTGGAAGTTAGTGCGATGAACTCTCCATAAAGTATTTCCACGATATGTGCAGGTTTGTTTTGTTTGCAGTTATGGCATCTTTGTGCTCTTAGTTACTCCGTCATCAATGGTTGTTTCTGTCTATCAAATGTGACAATAGTATAGCAATTTGTGCATGCATATACCATCTAAATAGGCAATTTGATATGACTAATTCATTTTCAGGGGAACTGCGCTTAGTTTTGTCTCATCTAAACGGCACTGTTAACATGTGGCGTAAAGACTTTTCCATATGGGCTAACGGCGTCATTAACGCTATAAATGAAGCATGAGGTCGTGAAATAAACAAGGTTTTCTGGGGCTGCTGATTTGATTAGGTTCATTTCACCGTCAATAGCAACACATCAGTGGTTTGAACTGCTGTATCGCTTTCGCACAACCATAATGACCTGAGTGATAAAGAATAATAATAGTCTGGAGAAACGCGGAACCTAGCATAAAGCATAAGCACCAAGGAGTTTACACCTTATCAACAACATAAGGTCACAAGCAACCGGCTATCGTGCAAAGATAAGTCGGCATCAGCAAGACGACTTCTTTGCGGTTCTCACTGCCCCGCGTCATCATCAACCATTACCCCGCAGATAACTCAGCATCAAAGACACTTTAGGCAGATGGTCCGACTAGAAGACGGTAGCAGACGCTCCACTAATGTTGACATGTTAGACTGATTATTGTGCAAATGAGCCCGAACCCTTAACTGGTGCAATGGTTTGCCTACCTATGTGATCCAGTAAGCTGCGATGAGTGACACTTTCTAATTGCCGTCAAGGCTGCTCATACCAGTTGAGGTCGGACTAACTCAGTCTCATCATCTTCAGAGATTGGGTAGTTAGTAGCCCCATTTCTTCAAAATTTGGCCGTAAGAGGCAACGGTGTACGGGTTACAACCTGAGCTCCATTGGTGGGAGAATATCACCCTGTTCAGTTTGCGATCCTCCAACCTAAGCTAATCAGCCGCTTGGCCAGAAAGGTGCAGTCTGCCAATTCGCACCTGTGATTAGCCGGGATCGTAAATGTGTACTAAACTACGGCCTGAAACGTACGTGAATTATACTCTATCTTCCGAGCCTTATATATGACCGGCCTCGAGTAGGTCCCAATGAAAGTCTACAGTCGCACCCTCGAACCTGATGTGGCCCCAACGCCTTTGCCAGCCTATTATGTCTAAAGCTCCATATGGGATCCCTCGAGCCAACCTCCATTTACCCAACTGCCTTGTGGATCTTGGTGTTGGGCTGGAGGCTGGATATATATATATATATATATATATATATTATATGGGTGGCTTGCGCTGCACCACCCACAGCTCCAACCACACACCCCATATTCAGTGTAAACCCGAAGGAATAAGACTGGAAGGCATGTGGATGGGAGCCACGTTTCATCAACGGAACCGGCCCACACTCCTTCACAGCCAAACACGAGCACGCTGTATTTGGAAATCAATCGCACACAAGGCGGTGGCTGTACCGTGCTCCGCTCCACACTGAGTGCATGGAACCACTCTTCGAGCCTAGCACGGCCACAAGAACCGTGCACCCCGACCTCCCATCAACGAGCGACTCTCCTCAGCCAGTGTGAACAAGGTAGTGGGTGATAGATAGGTAGGTACCTTGTCAACTTGCACGTCAAGCGCAACCACACCGGGGATATCAAACTACAACCAAATTACTTGGAACGACCATGTCAACTAAAATAAATAAAATTATGCATACAGATACGGTGACATAACTCTTCACTAAATGTGCGTATAAAATCAATTGGTTACGAACAAATCCGCAATAAGTTCAAGACGTCAGAAAATATATGTTAAGAAAATGCGACACCGTGAAAATGCTATCGAAGTAAACTACAGCTGACTTAATCGACGTGTGCAAGTTAATAGAAGGTAGTTTAGGTAAGTATTAATATGACATAAAATAGTAATTGATTAGTGCAAAACCATCGCCAGAAATAATATGACTGAGCCTGCAAGCAAGCGGTTAGTAAATCGAATACAGATCGCCTACAAACCCTGCGCCGGTTCTGCCTACCTTCTCTGCAGGACTCGACGTCGTTTCGGTGTTGGCCCCGAGTGGTCTTGCTCATTGGTTCTCTAGGCCTGCCTGACTCAGGCACTCGCGACCACACCATGTGCTCGATGTCGATGGAGTACAGCCCATCGGCGCCTGTCGCTTCCGCAATTGCCGCTTCTTCTCTGCATGCACGAGGGCTTTCTGTTGCAAATCGGCAACTGCCTTCGTGATCAGATCGCGCCATGCACGCCGATCAACCGCTCTCGATTCCTATGACCTGCAATCAAGATTAGAACGTGAGAGACTCACTTTGATCATGTCCTGGTAACGAAGCTTCGGTTTCCCGACATGCCGCTTCCCAACACTCAGCTGACCAAACAATAGCTGCTTCGATATCCGCATCGAATCCATCCGCCACACATGACGGAGCCACCTCAGGTGTCTCAGCAAAAGTATTCAGTCCACTGCATACATTCCACTTTGTCGCAACACTTCCGTGTCTGCAACTCTGTCGTGCCAACCATTGCGCAGAATCCGTCGCAGACACTGTTGGTGGAACCGCTCGACATGTCGCACATCCCGCCGGTACATCGTCCACGTTTCGCTGCCGAATAGAAGAACGGACAGCACCATGGATTTGCACACCATCGGCTTGGTGATAACGGTAAGCTAATGGTTGTTCCACACTCGGTACTCAAGCTTCCTAAACGCCGTCACTGCCTTCGATACGCGGATACGCAGCTCACTGCGTATCTGCTGGTCAGTCGACACCACACTCCCAAGATAGCAGAAGCGAGAGGTGGAGTCCAATACTTCGTCACCAATGCTGATTTGCGGCAATATTGAAGATTGCACCTCCAGTGAAGGCGGAAAGAGATAGACGGCTTTGCTTGTGTTGATGGTGAGCCCCAATTTGGCCGCTGTCGAAGCCAGAGCGTTAGTCATGTGCTGCAACTCATCCGCGCTGCGTGTAAACAACTCACAGTCGTCAGCAAACAGCAACATACGGATAGTTGTCTCACAGACTAGAGTTCTCGCACCGAAGCGGCGCATGTTCAGCAACCCACCATCAATACGGTGCTCCACACGAACACCGTAGTCACAAGCCGCATCAAAAGTACAAGGCATCATGGTATGAAGATAAATATTAAACACTGCAGGAGCTATGGCACAGCCTCGCTTTACACCAGAGACAACTGCAAAGTAATCCGAGTTCTCTCCACTCCGCTGCACCCTCGTCTGTATACCACTTGCAGACATTCAATTAAACTTACTCGAACAACCAAACTTACCTAACACCATTCACACTGCCTCGCGGTTCACCGTATCAAATGCCTTGGCGAAATCAACAGGAAGCGAGCACAACGGCTGGTGTCATTCTCTGCACTTCTCCTGCAACTGACGAGCCGCAAACACCATATCTATAGTGCTGCGACCCTAACGGAATCCGCATTGCTCTTCCGCCACGTTAGGTTCCACAACCTGACTGACGAGGCGGTTGAGCAGGATTCGGGAAATCACCTTGCCCCCACAACTCAACAAGTTGCCACGATAATTCGTGCAACACTGTTTGCTCCCTTTGTCCTTGTACAAGGATAGCTCAAGCGCATCCTACAGCTCAAGTGGCACCTCAATCCACACGCGTTGCACCAAGTAGTGCAGCGCAGTCACCAACGCGGATCTGCTATGTGTCAATACTTCAGGTGGGTTCCCGTCGGCACAGGCACATTTGCCGTTTCGCAGCTGAGCAAGTGCTGTCTGCGTCTCATCCAGTGTCGGCGTGTCCGTCAGACCTTCATATCTTGCTGCTTTAGGCCGTTCAAAGTAGGCCAGTCGATCTTTGAACGGTTGTTCAAGAGACAGTCAAAGTGATTTCGGCAGCTCTGCATTATTTCTGCAGTCTGTGTGCAGTTAGCGCCTGAGCTACTGTCAATCAGCGTCCTCAGCGGCTCCAATCTCGGTCCATTCCATCTGCTTCGCCTTTTCCGTCCACCGTGCCTTTTTAATGCGACGGAACTCTCGGGTCAGTCGACATCGAAGTTTGCGAAACTGACTGTTTTTCCCCAAGTCTGGGGTCTGCCACGTGTGCAGCAAATGCTGCATTCTTTCCCGACACCAGTGCGCCAATCGTCGCATTGTTCTCATCAAACCAATCAAGCCGCTTACGGTTTGCGCGCCCGATGGTCTCCTCGGCAGCAGCTGTCACCTGGTCCCGAATGTGGTGCCGCAGGTCGCCCACTGTGGCTATGCATTCCACATCACACAGGCGTGCATCCATCGCCTTCTCCAGCTCAGTACGTTTCGCCACAGTACCGAGGGAGAGAATGTTAAATTTACGCCGATTCACGGCGGGAGTGCCAAACATAGGTGTACAAAAATATATGTACAGTTTGGTCCGCAACAATTTGTGATCAGTGCCACATTCAGCCCCAAGCAGTACACGTGTCATGCGCACTTCACGTATATCACGCTGACGTACGATGACATAGTCGGGCAGGTGAGTGTGACCACTCCATAGGTGCGCCCAGGTTGTTCTATCACTCGCACTCATTGCAAACCGAGTGTTCGTGATCGTCAGGCCGTGAGTGGCACACAGTGAGAGCAGCCTGTCACCGTTCGCGTTCGCGGAACCAATACTATGCGGAGCGATGGCATCTGTCCACACCAATGCATCACGCCTAGCGCGCGCGTTTAAATCACCCAGCAGAAACAGTCGGTCCCTCCTTGGCCAGACCGTATCACGAAGGATGGCTAAATGTAGAATCGATCACGCGTGTCATCAAGATAACATGTGGTCGGGCCGTACATACTTATATAAGTGGCATACTTACTCTTCCGAGTCGTAGGTGAACAGTCATCATTCGCGCGCTGATGCCTGTTGATTTACCCACCAGCTGGCCATGGAGGCGATCGGATATTACAAATCCGGCCCCATGTTCACGTGGTGCTGAGGTGGCGTTGCCCACCCTGTAGCACGTGTAGCCAGCACTGAAGTGGATGGGGTTTGGACTAGGATACTGGCAGGTCGCTCACACCTGACAGGAGAACGACTTGGGTACTCAGCCAAAGCCCTCGATTAAATGTACACCCGAAAGGCAGCGGGTATAGCACGTGGTCAGTTCACTGACTCATGCGGATTGGTGTCCTGGATCTCTTAGCATGGAGAAGGGCGTAACCCAACTCTCGTCCATCGATCGCCACGAGGAGGCGTCCACGGCATAACAGTGGCAGCAGTGGGTCGACCATCTGTCATATGTCTTTGATACAAACACTATGAGCAGTCATCTGCTAACAAAACACTTACCAGTGTTCTTATATATTTCGCCCATCCGCTCTGAATAGTCCTTGTTTACGTATACAGGACGGTAGCCTTAAAATACTGTGGTTAGCCATAAACAAAAAGTGATAGATTAGGCTATTCATTATCGCTTTTATCCATCAAGTTAGCTGTCGATCGTTATTCTTTACGGTTCGCCAATTCTCGTCGTTTAGCTTGAAATGAGTCTACTTGTGGTTATTGGCTCGCGTCTACACCCCACTTGTTCGTAAATGCTACTTATTTTTATCCCAGCTTTCACGCGCCGGCGTTGTTCACGATGGAGTTCACTATGACGCGAATGGTTATCTCTCTGCTATTCGAATCATTAGGTAAGTTTACACCGTCTGCTCTCTGTTTCTACCACTCTCGCGTACTGAATGAAATTTTTTTCATTTTATTTGACTGATATCTTCTGCTATCATTAAACACTTAGGTCTCTAGTCTCTAGTGATCATTGCGCTTGGTATGCACTTGGTCTTGCACCAGACACACCAAAGATGTTGATTGGGCGGCACTCGAAACCTGTAGCCTATTCATCGCAGATTGCGCCCATTCAACGGGCTTTCCAGTGAAGTCCCAGAGGTTTATCACCAACCAGTGAAGATTGCTGAACTAGTAGTCCCATCAGCCCCCGAAAATGATGTCTCGCAACCCAGATAGCTCGCCTCTTAATATCTGTGAATCTAAAGTTGTATTTGGTGTACCCGCTGTGTGGTTTGACTGCGACTCGCAATCTCTACTCAGACCTCGGTCCTCTTTGAAGTAGACCTCTGTCATTACTATCACAAGGACCGTATCTGAATTGGTGTTTCGATGTTGCTCTTCCCCACCCTGACACCCCATAACCGGTTTCGTCCTCGTTTGGACTCATCAGATGGAGATATACTGAGCTGGGGAGGACCTCGAGGCCTAGTGTCAAGCGTTGCTAATACTGATACTGATACTGAGAAAATGCATCGAGTAGAGGTGCCTCTGTGTAGCTGCATCTAATATTTTTCAAGCAAATCTACCAATCATGATGGTGATTATTCCCGATATCTCAACTCGTCAAAGAGTGTGTCCAGGAGTTGCTTAAACTCCGACACCGACTTTGCATCGGCTAACTCTGCAGACAGATTATTCTAAATATTCACCATCCTCCGCTCGAAGCAGAGTTGGTGAGCGACCCGCTTCAAATCCGGTACGTCAAGCTTGTACCGGTGTCCTCGGGTGCTGCTTGGTGTGCGCAGATGCAGCATAGGCCTCAACATTGGGGTATTCGCCCAGATGTAATATCCGGTGCGTCATGATAAGGTCAACCCGCATTCGACGATAAGACTGGGTGTACAACCCTAGTTTCTTGCATCGGTCTTCATATGGCGCATCTCCTAAACCGGGGATGAGTCTTGTAGCAACATGCTCTACCCGCTCAATTCTTTGCACCTCGCCCCGAGTGAGCGGACAGTAGGCGGGTGATCTGTACTCATGCATTAGTGTGGTAATGGAAAAGAAGAGGCGAATGGCAACCTCTTCGGACCTAGTACATAAGCTGCGTTTGAGCGCCCAGAGCATGCGCAATCCGTTTTGGTAGATGCTATGCTTGTTTTCACCAGATTTCAAATAGCAACGTAAGATTACCCCGATATCTTTCACGGATGGCGATGAGCGTAACTGTTGGCCGGCCAGATTGTAGTCTCAGCCATTACCACGCTTGTCCAGGCTCATAAATACCGACTTGACCGGATTAATCGGAAGGCTGACCTATACTCACAGATCATAGAGCCATATTGGTCAAGGCGTCAGCCTTTAAACACTGTGCCTCGAGGTCCACCCCAGCTCAGGTTATCTCCATGTGATGAGTCCAGACGAGAACGAAACCGGTTATGTGGTGTCAGGATTGGGAGGAGCAATACCGAACCACCAGTCTGTGAAACTAATTAGTAATGATTTTGATCCACATCCTGTCATTGGCCGCACTGTGATTTTTCATATATTATTACTAGTCTATACTCTGGTGCCGCAGCTCTTCGCTAACGATTCACGCGTTGCGAAGCCACACACGAATGCTCGCAGTAGTGCCTTCGGCCATACGGTAGCTGGAGGGAACACGGATTGTTGGAAACCCATCCTCCGATTCCAGTGTGTCTGATGCTAGTGAGGGCCAAGTGGTGCTTCGGCCAAGTATCGTATTGCATTTTTGTGCCGCGAAACATACCAAAGCGCAATGATCCCTGAGCTAGTCTGCTCCTCAGCACTGTGATAATTGTCACTTATGCGACATCCAATCAAACAGCAGAACATTCAGTTTCGAAAATCCCAAGATAGTCAGCTGGGGAGTGTGTGCAACGGAAGGCATCAGCAGTACGCCAGTACGCAGTACTGACGCTTCACTGCCGCGCATCCACCGTCATTAGCGCGTGGATAGTGCCAACGTCCGCCGGTCCTTACGCACGCTCTAACCCCAGATCTCAAATTACAAGGCAGGCTCGTGATGTTTAAGGCCACGGGCCAGCAGGGATCCAACCACTGAATGTTTGCTATGGGTTTTATGTCTTATTCTTAATCCTCTTTCTTTTCTTGTTCCTCGTTTTCTAACTCATTCTCATTGTGCGATGGTGAAGCATCAGTTCGAATTAGTCTTATATACCGCTGTTGTTGTTGATGATATATCTTGTTTTGGAACTTCTTAGCTGTCATTTCGGCTGTACACGTGTTCTTTCCCGATCTCGGAAATCCTGTTAACTTATGCAACTTTAACTTTTATTGTTAGCGTAGTATGTATACTATATCCTTCTCACAGTCGCGGTCTCTTAGGTTTTATTGACTTGTATCTCTGAATGATGTTATTTCTTTCGTCTTCATCTCTATTGGCAAAGTCATAGGCCAGAACCAACTACCTATCCTAAGGCCAAATATGCTTGCGTTACGAATGGCTTGTCCGTCTCCTCAACTCCCCGTTCTCTTTCACTGTTACTTTTGGGGACGTCTGTGGAATTTGATCAGGCTTTATGATTCTGGCAAGATAGCCATCTATGATTAGCTCCATGTATGCTCATATGTTGCTCTTCCCACAGTGGAACACGCAGAACTCAGTCGGTGTATTCGTCCACTTTTCTACTCATTGATTAGCTCTGGATGCCGTCAATATCATATTCGCCATTTTACCTGATGTACGAACTACTGAATGTACCACCGTATTCCTATTAATATGATGTTATCGCACACTTGCCAACTGAACTTACACGTTCTCAGCATAATCACATCCTATTCGACTTAATACTGATCACTAGTGGCACAGAGTTTCGTGGCGGTGCAACCGTCTGTTATTAGGTCTATACATTCGGTCTTAACTTGAAAGCGCTAGTAGAGTACCACGTCTACCATTTTCACCTACAACGCATCTGGCTGTCCGCCCTGCTTGGGCTACCGCGGTAAACACCCATATTCCCCTGTCTCGTAATCGTCTTCCACTCCACGGAGTCTTGAACTCGAAATACTGTGACTGGGCTTGTTGCCCTAATCTTTTTCGCAGCCAACTTTAATGTATTTAAATGTACATAGTGTGGTTTCCCCGAATTCTCCACTAGCCTCCCTAGCAGTCCACTCCACTGGCAACAACCTGGAATAATTCCACTCTCGGAGTACGTGAGTCAGACAATTCTGAGGCCACGCTTTGATCCGTTCACTTACCGACGCAGTTGGCAGCTCGATCTGCTCTTCGTCGGGGTTGTACCTCCACCACCGAACGATTCCTCCGAACAGCGGCATCCGTTGAATCATCGACTACGCCATCAGCTCACTGAATGGTGCGTTGTTCGATTAGAGGATTACACAACTCTGGTGAACAATCTGCTTGCGGAGTGGGACAGCTTATGTTGTATGCACGCTCTTTGCTACCAGGTGGTTGAAAACCCGGGTGAGTTGAGTACTCATCCTCTTGTTAATCATTAAATACCCTTCCTCATCGATGTCACGCGATTCATCTGCACATCTCTCCGCACCTCTGCTTGGTCACACACCTGCCTTATTGTTGCTTTCGCCTTTGTTCACTTAGTTCGCAATATTTTTTTCGAAGAAATGATGCGTGGGTACATTTACCACTTTACATATTACCACTACTACTACTACTACTACCTCGCAGTCAGTCATTTATACTTCCCATATATCTTCCGAAGTCAGCCACCACTGCTCATCTTTACAATGACTGTTTCCACTACCTATCCTGGCTTGGCGATCAGTGTTTACATACTCTACAATTCTCTTACCTAATGAAATAGCACACAGATGCTCGTCAAACATCATTCAAGACAACATCCAGACATATAGCTTTCTCGCAATCACTGTTTTCGCACACGTGGGATATTTGAAATAACACTTCCCACCTTGTCAATGATTCGATGTGAACTTTCTCTGCTGCAATCTACAGAGCATTTGCATTCCACAGTCTTTTTCCAGTGTTGACGCAAGGTTAAGTAGACTCGGTGTATTGTCCAGCCGCTTTGTGCAAGCTGACATCAAACACTTAGAGGGCACTTTCAGATTAGCGATTGTCAACCGTCCCTCCATCCTTATAAACGGTCACAGAACGTTTTGCAAAATCGCCCGAACGTCAACTTTGAAGTTTATTTCAGCTATCACACTGCTGCAGCTCATTGGCCATTTTGACAGTCGATTAAGCGAATGCCCAACTAGATCCCCCCGGTTGCAAGCATATTGGCCACCCGTTTGGAATTCATCAAATTCGGTAACATACAGGTTTTACTTTGGTCTCAAGACGACATTTGATTCAGTCGATCGATGCCCTGTAGGGCGTGCCCATAAATTCTTTTCCCTTGTGAACTCACTCTACTGCGGTCTCCGAAGCCTAGTCAAGCTCTGTGGGAAACTGTCTTGATCTTCATGTGACGTAATTGCTTCATTGCTTGCCGCGTGTTTCGCTTTTGATCATCCGTAGTCAGTCTCTGGTTTTGCCCGCAATTTTTCCACGATGCACAGCAAACGATTTCCTCGACTGACAAACGAGAGACTTTCACAGCCCCAGATTGAGCTGGCCTTCCAGCATGACCTGGATGCTATTCTTTCACCTAATTACTTCAAGGGTGTCGAATTTCGTTGTTATAAAAGTTCACTTGTCATACATAGCGACGGACCTTCTGCATGCAGCACTGGCAGTCGTCACCACACCGTGCACTAAATATCCGGATGGCCACTGAATCCTTCTAAAATCACAAGAATAATCTGCAGTCGCAAATTACATTGCGACTGTAGATGTGAGTTAAAACTGACGAGGAATCCTATTTGATTCATGTGGATCAAAAGGTTGGGGTGTTGGGGGCGACTAGTAACCTTTGATAACTGTCCATCCGTCCCGTACTACTTGTGCCAAGAACCCATGCCTAGGTGAGAGACTCTGTGAAAGTATCTTTGTCCCGACTCGCAATATGGTAAGGCATCTGTCTCATCGGGGCCACTACAGTTGTTGGTCTGCTGTCCATGAAACGGTTCATTCTTAGGAGGCGCGGACTGCACTACCCAATTAACCTAGAGGCCCAAACTGAAACTTTGTTTCAGCAAGGGATCACTGATCCAAATCGTTCCCATCCTGCTATGTCTGATTCTACCGTGCTCTTCACTCCATATCGGCGTAACCCCGAGTGACCTTGCGGTGTCCCTAGCCTGCGTGGAACTGGTGGCAGTTGCGTAGTAGCGGACATTGATTCAACAAATCGATGTACTGCTAATGTGTTTTTGCCAAGTAGTTTGCATTTGATCATCTGCGCTACCTTTCGATTTGTAGGCATCAAACGGGGATGTCCTCCGCGCAGCTCAGTCCAGCTCAACTCAACTCAGACCGGATCACAGTGCCTGTATGTCAACGCTCCACACGAGCGAGTCCAATAATGTGGTCCACGACAAAATTGCACAAAAGTGGACAACGAGACAAACCGATCTGTCACTTTATTCATGCTCTCTCTCTTTGCTAACTACAGACTACCTAAATATATCACCCAAACTAGTCACTGGGTCACAAAAGCATGCACATCGAGACGGTTGGCCTGCATGAACGCAAGGAGCCAGCGTAGCCAACATGAGTGGTGCATGCCTAGTAGATGACTCGGTAAGTGCAACAGCTCTGTTGCGATACAGCTATTAGTGGACTGTCACTGCTCGGTGCTCCCTTTAGCTGGGACAGTTGTGTCACAGATACTGGTCGCAGACGGCAAGACGCTTATGAGATTGAGCGACGCGTAGAGCACCGAGGAATCCAACGAGTCAATGCCGGAACTGATCAACGAACAACGGCATAATTTAAGGGTCAAAGCCCATAAACCTTGTGATGCTTTTATGAAGGCAGTAGCGCATCGATGACATTCTTACAATAAAGGAATGGAAGCAATTCTCGAAACAAGCATTGTGGGTCTGCTGCAAGGCCAACCGAGGCGGATTACAAGACCGCACGCAGAGTAATAACCAAGTGCACGTCATTGACATGCCTCGTCAACGCATCAAGCTATGCTGAGTGGGGCCCCATGGCCCCTTGATAGCTACTCCTACCAGGTTGGTCAATGGTTTGAGATCAGACGAACTCAGACTCCTGTTCCTCCAGGTTGGGGGGTTTAAATGGAATGGCGTTCATTACTGTGAAACTGAGTCGTTGTCATGTACGCTGCTTTGCGGACAGGTTTTTGAACCAAAGGCTTTGGTTGAGGACCCTAATCTTTCTCCTGTCTAGGTCTGTGCGCTCTGGAAGCTCTCCTGCAACCATGAATATTTCTTTAAACTTCAACCACATCCTCCATCTGCTGTCGCACACCTTATCAAGGGTCTGCTTATCTGATGCGTACAGCAGGTCGGATAAGCGAAAACATGCTACTGCTTCCGCCTCCCTTCTTTCTTTTCCATCTGTTTCTCTTACTCCCATCCCAACTTCCATTACTAACTTTCCCTCAATAAACCCCAACCTGATTAACAGCAGCCGCAATGCCACGAGTCGTACCATCTGCAGCTACGTCTCCGCTCCCCACTGCCAGTCGCCAGCAGCACCCTATAAGGCCACACTATGCGTTTCTCTGGTGGTGTTCAACATTTGCACACTGACAACTAGGTCAACAGGGTGCACTCGCGCGCACGTTGGTTACACTGGCTATTGAGACGTGTGTTGTGTTCAATTCTGTTATACTACTGTATATTCTAAGTCAGTTTTGTGTGTTTGCTTTCTCTCAAATCCCAGGTTGTTTGATATCACCTGTGTGGCTGCGCTTGATGTGCATGTTGACAAGGTGCCTACCTGTCTAACATCCTCCAACTCGATTTTTGGCTCCAGGATACTGTGAATCGTTACTAGGCGGGACGGGGTGCACGGTTTTCGTGGTCGTGCTAGGCTCAAAGAATGCTTTCATCCAGTGTGGAGCGGACTACGGTCCAGCCACCGCCTTGTGTACGTCTGGTCCACATGATTCCCTACATAGCTATACAGGAATGCTTCTGTTCTGCTTGTTGAAGGAGTGGGCCGGCTCCGTTGATGAAACGTGGCTCCCATCCACACGCCTCCCCGTCTTATTCCTTCGGGTTTACACTGAATATGGGGTGTGTGGTTGGAGCTATGGGTGGTGCAGCGCAATCCACCCATGATCCCTCTATAGGCGCAGGCTTCCTGTGGCTGACCACAGTGACAGACAAATCCGGAACCAAATGCCGCCAACTATGGGTGTCCGAAACTTGGGTTGTCAAATTTATTACGCCCTCTCGCTGTTGGTTGCACGCATCTGGAGACGCTAATACGGGGTGTTCTTCGTTCTCAGCACCAAGGCTTAGTCATCGTTCGCTTGATTGGATTCCTGTGAACATACGTTTCTCGACAACAACTGCGGTTGATTCAGGAATCAGTTCTAAACGCTGTTTGATTGTGCCTTCCGTTTATCCTCCCACTATCTTCATCACCAGTACACGTCAGCTGAGGGTGAAAACACATCTCAGCTTATGTGCCGCAACACAAAACAGACAAGGTGCTACAAATTGCAGACCACCAAAGTTCGCAAAGCAAATCATCATCATTATACACGGCCGCTAGAGGTGGAAAACACTGGCTACTGTGCCGCAGAATTAGAAGATACACACCTATCAAAGCAACGTGGAAGGAGTGTCAAGAATTGGGGGGGTTGAAAACAGGAGGATGAGAGTGAAGTTGGAACGGGACGCTGAGCATGAAAAAGCACAAAAGCGTGAATAAGTCGATGGTAAGGCGTGTGCAGTAGCATCCAAACCCCCATCCACCCTGCGGCGGCCAGAGCATCAAGAAATTGTTTGAGAAAGGATTCATAGTATTGCGTGGGCAGGATACTGTCAGATTGCCCAGATCTAGACAGGAGAACGATTAGGGTTCTCAAGCAAAGCCTTTGGTTCAGAAACCTGACCGCAAGACAGCGGGTTTGGCAGTGGACTACAGGGAGTCCGTTTTAAGGAATAAGGAGTCAGCCTCATTCCACTCCCCAACCTGGAGGACCGCGCGACTGAGCTCGTTTGGCCTCTAATCACTGACTAATCTGGTATGAGTGACTCTGAAGGTGCCAAAACACCACCCGGCATAGCTCAATGGATCGCTGAGACACACAAACCATCGCACCACGATAAGGTCCTGCCTCAATGCGACTGTCAAAATGCTAGTAATTTAATGTTAAACCTCATAATATAAATTTACCCTTGAGGTCGTAATTGGATGGGGAATCTAAAGGCCTCCACCGGTTGCTGTTCTTATGCTGCCGTGGACGCCTTCTATAACGAACTGAACACGCTACTGCGCAGTGCCACCAGTTCAGATATTATTGTGCTTGCAGGGGATTTTAGTGCGTAAGTAGATCGTCTGAGCACTTCAGAAGCTCATCTAGGTAGTAAGTATGGACTTAACTCCGACCGTACGGCGTGCGTCTGTTACAGTTGTGTGCGGAGCAGCGGCTGTTTCTTATTAACACCGCTTTTAGACACAGTGGGCGTCGAAGTGCCACTTGGCGTTCTGCTGTAGTTGGCCAACGTCGGACTCAGATAGATCACATTTCCATACTTGTCTGACGGTTATTGTGGATTACCTGCGTCGACTCAGGTCATCCATTGATGCTATGTTGTTTTTCCATGAACTTTACCGGGAGGCGTACCAAGCGCCTCCGTCGTCTGGTGACTGAGAAGTTATCTCAGTCCCCAGTCAAGTAAACTACCAGGATGTTCTTGCGTACCGAACTTCTACTCTTTTGTCCTAATGACACTGAGGTTCAGTTTAATAGGACCTCGGCTGCCACGCACGACGCAGAAGCCCCTGCTTGTGGTATTATCAGTCGTCACCGCACCAGTCACTGGATATCCGTGAGGTCGATGAATCTGTTGGAATCTATGGAAAACATCCCTGCTGGCTCTGCATACCGTTTTACCAGATGGACTATTAGGCGCGAACTAAAGCGGAGTCTGAGTGCTGATAAGGAAGAAAGTGGGGGAAGCAGCAGTAGTAGGCGCTTATCACAAGCTCTTCTTACTGGTCTATTGGTCCCATAAAACCAGGCGTCAGAGAAACAATCAGGCAACACGGATGACCTGATTAACACTAAGGAGCGCCGTATGGCTCGTTGGGCAGAGCACTGTTGAGGGCAGTTCTGTTGGCCCCCTGCTCTTGCACCTCCCCCTACTCAGGTGATGCAGGATGAACCATGGATGGTTAATTTAGAAGCTCTGTCGCAGGTTGATTCGAAACACAGCCGTTAATCGTGTTCGTGTTACTTGCCCATTTCGTCGCACCTGCACGATTTAAGGATGATGGTGAGACTGTCTGCAAAGCACTGACCTTCCTGTTCGAACAGTTCTGGAAGGAAGTGGCCATCCCAGCTAACTGGAGTGAATCGATTGTAGTGGCGATATACAAGAAGGACAACCACACCGACTGTGCTAACCACTGGGATATTAGTCTAACGCCGGTGATGACAAAATTACTGACCTCTATTCCCCTTCGTCGCCTCATTGCAGAACGAGAATCCCGGATTGGGGAAGAGCAAAACATCAGCAGTACGCCGGTACACAGTACCGACGCTTCGCTGCCGCGCAAACAACACTAATCGTACTTCGGCTAAGGATACTGCGAGGGTGCCCTAGTCCATACGTGGACTAGAACCCTCGCCCTCAGATTACAAGGCATGTTTGTGATCCTTAAGGCTGCGTGTTGGCCACGGAAAAGCAAGCAGGCTTCCACTCAGGGCTAGGGTGTACGGTCCACATATTTACTCTGCGAAAGGCGCTACGGCAGCACCACACATACCGGACATCAAGGGTACGTTCGACTCAGTTGATCGATGTACTTTATACGAGTTGCTTACGCAAACAGGTATTCTCACGAAGTATGTTACCATTTTGCGCATTCTCTACTCCAACCCCACAGTCCGCGTCAGGCTCTACAGTGACTTGTCGGGTGCCTTTCCGAGAACAAGTGCATTCTTTAGGGTTGTCCAATTTCCCCTGTTTTTGTTCAACTTCGTTGTCGACTACATTATGGAGCGTTCCGTCTGTAGAGTCTCACGTTGTTGATGTACTGCTTAGTGGAAAGTCTATTGATTTAATTATGCTGTCCATATTGTCTTTCTTTTGTAACGATGCTTAAGCTCTATGCAGATGCGTGTAACTTCGTATTATGTCAATCCTTATACGACCGCTGATAGTTGCTTGTCTACAAATTTTCGGTACGCAGCTCTATTCTACTTCTGATACTCCTCCTCAGCCGGAATTGATACATCTATAACGCTATCAGTGAACCGATTTGGCACATAGGATAATTATTCGAACACAATGCAAGTTGGTGGTGTATCAGCCTTGTCTTGTAATTGCATCTTGCACGTTGATATTGTTAGGCACTTCCTGAAGAGTGTAGGCCACTGTGTCAGTTGTTCCTGTCGTCTATCACGGAATTCCATCTACAGACGAGTCACCTTGGCTTAATCATTCATTACCATTTTGTTCACATATTTTCGGACGATGTAAACTACAGCTTTCTCTAAACCTTCCAACAGACGTAGGTGTCGTCGTATGGGGCTTCTGATGGGGAGGAGATTTCTGTTGTTGGCTTTGAAATTAGCTGGGTTTATGGGTGTCTTTACTTCAACCTGTACAGTTCTGGCTCGATGTACCTATGCGAGATACTGTCTATTGTAACAGTCGACAATCAGTCGTCAACACATCTTTTGCTGGAACTTCACCAGCCTTACTTCCACATATTCAACTCTTCGTGAAACACAACACTGCCGGAATATTACGCGTATGTTATCCATGAACATTTGTGTCGAGTTTACAACGTCAATACTCTTCTCATGGCATCTTTCGGCTCCTTAAAAGTAGGAATGACAATTGGCAATTGCTTAACGGAGCAGTTACAACAACCAAAGGTGTGTCGCTGCTCCTCTTCAGGGATATTGGGACCAGTTCGATGAGTTCTATCTCCTTGGTTCTCTCTCAATGAGTCAATTCGTTTTGGACCTTTACGATGCTGGGATCTGTTACTGTGACGTCCCCTGGCTCGGAGGACAATAACGCTGCAATACATCACCTGGATTACCTTCCAAAATGTTTGCTTCGACGTTTAATTCGATATGTCTGGTAGTTAAACAACTACGCGTTTTTCAAACTCCTCACTTGACTCACACAAGACTCCCTCCCATGAGTTAGAGCATCAGATGCCTACTTCTTATGATGCCGTTATTTATCTCTGCCGAGTCTTAAACTAATCACAAGACTGTACCATAAATCGTCTTAGAGTGTTATAAACAGTCTACAGCTAACTTCCCTCTGTGCTTCACTTGGAGCAATAAAAGTCCATTTGTTAGTCGGGGACGCCCCACCCTCTTTGGACAGGTGATTGCACAGTCCTTTTTCACATCGCATCAGAAACGGCCCCTTGCGCTAGGTGTCTGATGTACCGCGAACTCCTCATGTTTGCTTCGCAATGATGCGCTAGACCACTAGTATGCGAACCTCACTGATTTGTCCGATTCGCGTTTCCTATACCACCGACGACTCATGAGGGTTCTACTCTTTGATATGTTCTACTTTCTTCCGATAACCACTGGTTTCTACGATCAGAACATGTTTAGAGTGTATGGATTCAATACTCAATATGTACAAAGTGCCTTGGGTCCACAAACGTTGCTCTCCTTCACCTCTTTTGTTGAATGCTTTCGGAACTAGATGACGTAGCCTCTTTTGCAATCACTGGTCTTTGTGCACCATCCATCTCTGCGTTATCACTTGGGTGCCTAGGTTTCAGGCTCCATGAACTGGAACTTGATTTTTGTGAACTCATTGACTTCCTTGCGCTAGATACAGGGCTCGGTTTGAGTGCCGGGTGGTTGCTCAATTTTCTTCTTGTGCTTGGCACTACGGTTTCGTCTCCAATGTCTCCGGGCCCCGCTGGGACGTGTCTTCTCTCCCCCATGTCGTCCCTCTCTTCTTGGAGCTGTTTTAGCTTATTCTGTCTTTTCTGCAATATGAATACATGCGACATACATTAATAACTTGAATGAGTCATAAAACGCTCTATCATGTCATTCATCTACATACGCTATCACCGATAACGTTGTTTTTTTGTTTCACTAATGACAATACTTCACCCCATGGTTCTACAATCTTTATCCTTAAACCACGTTGGTCATTCTTTTACTGTATTTCATCTTTCCAACCAGTATTTACTGCGTATTTGCTAGGTTTTAGTACACTTTACTTGGTAGTGGGACCTTCGGTTGTTGCTTTTCTCCTTGGAAGATTAGACTGCGGATCCTATATTTTATTTGTAACTTTGAAGCAATGTGTTTTTTCTGGTCAAGTTTCAAGGTCAATGTTGTTCTACTCCCTCAACCATTTGAAAACGTTGCGCGTTACTGCCTTAAATCCGTACTTCATTGAATACGGTCATGCAGTCAGGAACACCTTCAAACAAATTAGGAATTACTGTCTTCGGAAAAAGTGAAAGCATCGCACTGGCCTCAGTCGTTGTCCTGTCGACAAAGCGCAAGTTCTACCGATACTTCCTAGTAACGTTCGCTCACCTTTTGGTAAAATTGGTGGTCTCAGTGTCAGTATGCAGCGAAATGAGTATGTTATTACATGGACCATTCTGTTAGAAGAAAGCTGGTTGTATACTACTGTTTAGAATGGGGTACTTCAACTTCATGGTTATTTTCTCATCAGAACTGACCGCTCCGGAAAGCCCTAGTTTCGTGGTGGTGGTGGTGGTGATGGTGCAGCTCAGCAATCGTAATATTCACATAACAATCTCTATGAGCTGCCATTTAATTAAATGCAAACCGATGTTCTTTAGTGACCTTCAATCAATCATCGCCGGAAACGGATACATTGCTCCTGACACATTTGCATCAGAGTTAATGCTTTTTGAGGACCAAATTTCTTCAACGCTACTGCTTAAATTTGATTGTTCTATCCTTACTGTCGCTGGCGACTTCAGTAGAAAGGATACAACATTCTTGATGACACTTGACTTGGTAGACCTAGTGACTGTTTCGACCAGACAACATGTCCAGTCGGACGCTGTGTTCACAAACAAACGACAGTGCTTTTTCATACAAAAACGGGCTCATTTGTGCAGCTCAGACCATTGTATAGTAAAACTGTGTCCAGTCATATACAGCTGTCTAACTTTTTAAGGCTGACCAAACGTCCTTACAAGGCTATCATATGGCGAAATTGCTCCTTAGAAAATATCACGAGGCTCAAGACAATATTTTTAACTGATTTTTCGGTCTTCAACGATGAGGACCTGTCACTCGAATGTGACCATCTTACGGACTACATCAAATATTTCTTTGACATGTGTTACCCTGTTGAAACGATCTATCTACGGGGAGATAGATTTTCATCACCACTACTGAAGCGGCTTCGAAGGATGAAACAATGGGATTACAAGTGCAAGAATGCTATCCGTGTCAAAAGCCTAACCACGGCAGTTAAATCCGAGATGAAAAGGCTAAATCAATTATACCTCGAAGCAGTTCTAGGCAACCATAATTGCCGTGATCTATGGAGACTTCTGAGGCGACTCTGTGGTAAGAGTGTTTTCAGTCAGACCGGTGAAGTGGATGTGGATAAACTGAATTCTGAGTTTAGCTCCGCGTCACTAAGCTCATCTTCCTTGCCCTCCTACATTAGCTCAAGTCTAGCTGCGCCCTTCAGTCAAAGCAACATTCACAATGAACTCAAAAAATTAAAGGCAAACAAAGCTTGTGGTCCGGACGCTCTCTCACCATTAGCTTTGAAAATGTGTGCTAATTCTCTCACACTGCCTTTAACTGATGTCTTTTACAAATGTCTCACTACGGGTGTGATCTCGGACATTTGGAGAACGGCCAGTATCACTCCAGTACCAAAAAATGGATCTCAAAAGTATCGCCTAATTGCATGTACATCTGTGCTCCTAAAAGTTTTCGAAAGGCTGTTAATTCCGCGGCTTTTTTCAGCCGCTTCTGAAGGCGATATCTACCAGTTTGCATATACACTTCAGCGATCCACATTGGATGCAGTGGCATATGTTGTGCATTCTATAACCTCTGCATTAGATAAAAAATGTAAATCCGTACGGCTTCTCCTCCTGGATTATTCGAATGCCTTTGGAAGCCTGAATAGGTCAAGGTTGCTAAACCTGATATCCGAAATTGAAGTTCACCCTGGTGTGTGTAATCTGTTACATGACTAGTTTACGAATCATACTCACTTCACTAACTTGAACGGTAAGAAATCATTGGTCCTCCGTGCCAACTGTGGTGTTCTACAGAGAGCGATCCTATACCTCTTCTATTTTCCTTGTATGTTGAACATCTCCCTATACAACCCGCGTTTATATTGTGTAAATAGGCTGATGATGTTGTGCTGGATGTATGGCCCCCAATAACCATGATTCCTTATCACTTCAACGTGGATTGGAAGATCTGGTGGAATGGTCTTCATCCATATCTCTTACACTTAATACTTCTAAATGCAGTGATGTAATATTTTATTTCCTCCGTGACGATAAGTTGCAGTCCACTATAGGTTTCTCTCCCACCCTTACTGTGAATGAACACTCCTTACCCATATATATATATGTGTGCCCCACATATACATATATATATGTGTGCCCCATGCTGAGGCTGATGTTGCATTCTTGATGCTTCTTCACCGCAGTTGGGCTAAACCAACTTACACTTAAACTAGGTCTTTTTAAGCTGGATAAATTTCATTCCGCTTTATTTGGTTTGTTCTGCCTCCCTGAATAATGTTCTATTAACTGGCCACGTTGATTACACTAATTGCGCTTATCTTCGGTAATTTTGTTGCGTTTGTAGCATTTTAAGTAACTCGTAGACATTTCTTATTTATCACGGATTTGTTGCTAACCAACCTACTTCATATGGTAATTTAGCGAAGAGTTATGCCACCGTATCTGTATGCATTATTGGATTTATTTTATTTCAGCTTGTCGTTTAAAGTGAATGGCTGTTGTTTGATATCCCTGGTATGGTTGCGCTTGATGTGTATGTTGACAAGGTGCCTACCTGTCTATTACCCACTACATCGTTCATACTGGCTCCAGGAGACAGTTGGTCGTTGCTGGAGGGGACGGGGTGCACGGTTCTTGTGGCCGTGCTAGGCTCAAAGAGCGGTTCCATGCACTCAGTGTGGAGCGGACTACGGTCCAGCCACCGCCTTGTGTGCGGTTGATTCCCCAAATACAGCGTGCTTGTGTTTGCCTGTGAAGGAGTGTGGGCCGGCTCCGTTGATGAAACGTGGTTCCCATCCGCATGCCTCCCGGTCTTATTCCTTCGGGTTTACACTGGATATGGGGTATGTGGTTGGAGCTGTGTGTGGTGCAGCGCAAGCCATCCATGGTCCCTCTGTAGGCGCAGGCGTCCTGTGGCTTGCCACAGTGACAGGCAAATCGAACATGCGCCACATATATATATATATATATATATATATATATATATATATATATATATATAATATCAAGTCTTCCACCGTCAAGTGTCTCGGCGTCTTTTATTCCCAGAACCTTTCTTGGTCCACGCATGTATGTAAAAATTTGCAGTCAGAAAACTTCTTATGCCCTCAGACTTAAGGTGCTTTCAATGCTTTGTACCTTACTAGTCAGGTTTGTGGCCTCTTGCATTATTCCCCATTGGTTATACTGCTCTTCTATCATTTTTCCTGGTCTGCTTCAGGAAGACTACACCTTATTGGTGGGATATATATAAAGCACATTTCTAAATGTAGCTGCTTGTCTAAAGATTCTTTAGTGGATTTGATCATCTCTAGACATCTTGATGCCTACAGTGATTTTTCTTCTAAGCTACTAACCGATCGATTTCATCCACTTCACAATGATCGTTACAATACGCTCTCTTTTCCTTCTACTCGTTCGAAATTCCGAATTTTATTCTCCCGCATGGCATCGTATCGTAATACTGTTTTGCTTTATGTCTCACGTTTGCTTGTTGTCACAGCAAAAGTCACTAACATGCTTCGCGAGCGGTTGTTTAAGTAACGTACATTTTTCCTATTTCTTCTTCCCAATCATCTATCTTGATATTACCATCCAGATGTCCGCAGTGGTGGTGTCAATGCTGAAATTGAACCCATTAGGGTTGTTCATAAAGCCTCTTTTGACTTGACTTGATTGCAACCGGTGCAATCGTGAAACGGAGGTGTTTATCGGCTTTCTTTTGCGAACATACTTAGGGACTAGTGGAAGGGAACTGCACACTCGCTCTTTGCCATTTGGACGGCGCCTCTCTAATCTTTTTCCTTTACCTCTCATTGGGCTCACTTCTTTCAGGCCTTTGTCATCGCTCTTCATTCGACACTTTTGGTAATGAGAAACACCTCAGTCTCGTTATCATCATTTTTCTTGTCTCCGTAACCGGCACTCTTGCAAACCATGCTTTCACATAGTCAGCTTCTCTACCCACTTCACTCATATCGTCTCCAACTTGGAGACTCTGTTGCACCTTAACCGTTAGCAACGAATTAGAGCGCTATCCCTGTTTGCTGACCAACATGCTATGTGTGTAAAGATTTCACCTGTGTAGACCATAATTCTCCAAATGGAGGAGTATCGACGACTATAGAAGCTGCTCAGTTTTCAATTACAGCATGCATCCGTCTCAATTCACATGGTTACGAACAAGCATCTTCACGCCTTATGGTGCAGTCAAACACTGTTTACATGGACATTTTCCTATCACAAAACCACTTACCGACGCCTCCCTGGCTTGAGCTCTAGTCTTTCTGTCCAGTTCCTTCCAGTAGGTCAAACGGAACCGCAACTCTGCCGTTGTCCTCGCAAATTGTTTGATTGCCTCAAGCGGCTGAAAAATACTCATGTAGAGCAGCATTTGGGGCAACTGTGGGTGAGGGATAGAGATTCCACGTGAGTTGTTTCCCTCAATCCACCTCCTACATCTGATGTTTACAGCATTATAGTATTATTATAGGTCATTAGATGAAAAACTGCAGAGATGTATGTATGGACTAAATGTCAATAAATGTTTCACAAGTCCATCACGATGAGATTGGGCCTTAACGGGGTGCAATGGTTCGCGTACCACAGCTATCCATTGAGCTATCCTGGTTGATGCTTCATTCATCTTCAGAGCCACTCATACCATATTAATCAGTGGTTGGAGGCCAGACCGGCTCATTCTCCTGGCCCACCAGGTTGGGGGTTGGAGCGAAAGTTCCTCCTTGCTCTATACAACAGACTCTCTTTTGCCCCCTACCTTGCGGTCAGGTATTTGAACCAAAGCTTTTGGTTGAGAACCCAAACTCTTCTGTCTAAGCCTGGGCAACCTTACAGTATCCTACCCGCGCAAATCAACTCTGTGAGCTTCTGCCCACACGATTTCTGGATGCTCTGGCGGTTGCAGTGGATAATAAGGGGCGCCCTATCTACTGCATCGAGCAGGATCGATGGGAGTTTGGATGCTACTGCTCAAGCCTTCGCGTCTTATTATCCCCCTTGCACTTTTTCACCCTTACCATTCCACTAATTCCACTTTTATCCCCTGGTTTCCAACCCCTCAATTCTTGGACCTCTCCATCTTGCTTCAATGGTCGGTTTTCTTCTAGTTTCGACTGACGTGCAATCGCAGGGTCTCGCTGCAGTCCCGTTCAACCAGACGGACAATGTCAGTTCATCCATTTCTCTTTTGAGCCCCTGATCCTCCCTAAGACTAGCATGCCTCAGCGTACACACCTTGTAGCAGATTGGACAACAGGCGGCACTTGTTTGAACACTGGAGACCTTATCGATCGATATTTGGTGTTTATCGGAAACTCGCCTGCAAATTCCGGGTTCCATGCTAACCCTGCGGTCCCGCACGAACGACCCTGGCGGCATATTCTCATTGCATTTGTCTGGAGATAACATCTTCAAATATGGGTCAAGCTGGTGTTGGCATAGTTCTGAGTTCCCGCGCTGAAGCTGCCCTGTTTGACTTTATCCCAATAAGCAGCCGGAGGTGCGCCGTCAAATTGGCTGACCCCTTCAGAGCTTCGAAGTCGCACGTAGACAAACGGTGTCCGTTTGTCCTTGCGGCCTACATGCCCACAAATTGCAGCACCGATTCGGTGAAAGATGAGTTCTATCACCAGCTCAACGAGCTCCTTTGTTATGGGAAAAGTACGGATACTGTGATTCTGGTTGGCAAGTTGTAAAACTGTCCACTGATGACCTTCACCTGGGTGGCCGACACGGTGTAGGCTCACGTAATTGTCACGGTTAGAGTTCGCTACACCTATGTGGAGATTCTCATCGATTTCTCGTGAGCATTGACTTCTTACACAGCACCCGCAGAAGAGTGACATGGTGCCCCCCACCTCAAACCAGCAACGGACGCAAATCGACCACATCGCGATCAGTTACCGCTGAAGAGTCTGCATCCAAAACTGTCGCTCTGTTTGGATTACGCACTCGTTTGTGCCAATTTTACAAATTTGCTTTGGTTGGCGCATGCGACGTCGCTGTGAGTGCATCGATGCCTGCCAGCAGGCGAAGTCAGATGTCTTGAATGCATAACAAAGTACTCTGGCATCCGTGCTGAGTACACACCCTCTGAACCCAGTAGAGGGCCATTGGTGGCGTATTCACCAGTCGTTACTAGCAGCTGGCATGTCTTCATGTGACAAATCTCTAGATGCTCGCCTACCGGATGGGAGCGAACACGAGACTCGCAAAGACCTCAGGGCGAAATTACATGCTAGCCGGAAGGAAGACTGCAAGGCTTGCTGATCTCATCGTGCATCGGAGATGGAAATGACCGCTGCTCTTGATAGCCAACGGAAGTTATTCCGTTTGATACACGAAACGGGCGAAAGAAGGTCTGATGTTAGGGTGACAATACTTAGTGTGAGTGGACGGCCGATGTACAGTTTGTCAAAACGCTTGGAGCGTGGGGCTGAACACTTTGCAAATCAGCTTAATCAATTATTGTTAACAGCTTCTCCTTGACCATCGATCATCCTTCTCCCCGGACCGTTCCCATGGACCTGCCTTCACGCGCACAAGTCGAACGTGATATCAGACTGTTGAAAATAAATAAAGTCGCAGAAACGGATAGAATCCATCCAGCTCTCTTCATATTCGGAGGAATTGCTCTTGTAAATGATCTGCTCAACTTAGTTGTGAAGCGGTGGGAGCGGGAAACTGTCCCAGCGGACTGTAGCCGCTCGATAATAGTCCAAATTTTCAACAGAGGCTCCCGTTCGGAATGCGGCAATCATAGAGGGATCAGTCTGATCTCAGTTATCTCTAAGATACTCCTCTCTGTGGTTCTCCGTAGGCTGAATGGCACATGTGAAAGCCAGGTTCGCAGGGAATAAGCCGGGTTTCGTCGCGGCTGTTTTGATCACATCTTCACACCGCATCAATTATCGGAGTACCGCCATATCGGCGAACCATCGCAGTTGTGTTCCTTGACATCAAAGGTTCCTTCGATTTGGTTGATCGATGTGCCCGGGAAATATGTAAATGTCATAACAGCGCTGTACGCGCATAGTTCGGGCAGAATGAGGGCTAACGGTAAACTGTCGCCACCCTTCAATGTCTCCAGCAGTGTGAGACAAGGATGCCGATGTCACCTTTCCTTTTTAACTTCTCCATCGACGAAGCCTTGGAAACTGCGTTCACTGGATACGACCTGCAAGGCGTGGAGCTGCTCCCAGCTGAACGAATCATTGACTTGGAGTATGCCGCCGACATTGCCCTTATCTGTGACTGCTTTCAAACGTACCAAGTAGCACTCGGAAAATTAGCAATGGCTCTCAGTCGTTCCGGGCTATGCTTTGCACCCTCAAAGTACAAAGTCCTTCTCCAAGAGGCCCGCCGCTGCGCTGATCTTTGGTGGGGATCAGCTAGAAGTCATCGAGGAATTAATGTATCTAGGCAGCTAAATCAGCGCCAATAGAATAAAGGATGAGATCACAAACCGCATAGCAAAAGCAAGAAGACGCTTTTGCCCATCTCCGCCACCTCTGGCGCCGGTGCACTATCACTCTTGCCCTGAAGGGCAGAGTTTACAATGTGGTCCTACTGCATGATTGCGAAATCTGGCCCATCAACTCGATAGGCATAAGGAGGCTACTCACGTTCAACCATCACTGTCTTCCCAGCTTAGCTCATGTCTGGTGGGAGCACCGCGTGCGCAACGAATATCTTCGGCGTCGTGTATTTGGTGCCGTAGGAGCAAGTGATCCGCTCAGCACAATTATATCACGTGCTAGGCTCCGATAGCTGAGCCACCGACTGTCACATCGTGCGTCGTTTGCGCGCCCGGGGTCTGGATGGAAGAATAGGTGGGGTGGCCACGCTCTGACTTGATCAATAGAAATGAAATCCCCCACTTCAATTTTGGCGTCGGTTGGTGTCTCACGACTGCCTGGCTGGGGTCCGAAGTACGATGAACAAGTTTGATTGGATACACCGGTTGACATGACAAGAAGCCGACCTGAATGGGGTCTGTGTTGTGAGTTTCTTTGTCCCACCGCATCCCGCTTATCTTCTCCCTCCAGCCACAATCTGCATCTTGACGCATAATGTGTTACTAACTTGTCTGTCACATTCTAGCATTTTCAGTATCGCTTTTGTACATATCTTATTTTTGTGTTGCGGCACAATAACTGAAGTTTGTTACTCACTTTCAGCTAATATGTATTAATGATGATGATATCTCAAAAGTGCCTGCACTGATTTCCTATGTAATGGTAAACAAAGTAACACCTCATTATTGGTTACCGACGCTGGTCTTGACTTGTTTAAACTCGATCAGCTGAAACATTCCCACGCTACAGGAGTTTATGTGAGGCTGTATGTTAATACCTTGTTATGTTTGTGGTGGGGCGATATGTCGAACAACGCTGCGTTATCAAATTTTGTGTGAAACTCAAGAAGTCTGCCACTGAGACATTTGGAAATTTAACGGAAGCTTATGAAGATGCCAATCTGTCGAGGACTATGGTTTGTAAGTGGCATAAAGCTCTCAAAGTGGGTCGAGGAAATGTTCTAGGCTAACCTCTTTCCGTACGGCCAATCTTGTCAACAAACAATTAGAATGGGAAAGTTGTACGAGCTGTGCTGGCAGAAACGATGATCGTCATTTTTTCGACAGTCGTGGAATGGTGCACAAAGAATTTGTGCCACCAAGACAGATAGTTAATCAGGCATTCTACAAAGATGTCTTGGAACGACTTCGACATCGGGTTTAACGAGTCCGAATGGACATTGCAGATGATTGGGTGCTGCACCACGATTACGCACCTACTCACACTGCGCTTTCATTTCGAGAGGTTTTGGCGTGGAACAACATCCCCACATTACCACAACCTTCCTACAGTCCTGACTGAGCTCCCTGCGATTTCTACCTCTTTCCTAAGTTAAACTCTAAGTTGATAGGTCATCAGCATGGAACCGTGAGATACATCAACGTATTGTAACGAATGAACTTAGCACTCTTACGGAAAATGACTTTCAGTACTGCTACGATCAGAGGAAAACATGTTTAAACCACTATGTATCCTCCAGAGGGTCATACCTTGCAGTGTGAGTCTTATTTACATTTAAATAAAAAATTCAGTACACTTACTTTTGAGACACAGGGGTAAAACCACAAGATGGACTGCTTGTGGTCATTACTTCCCAAAGTGCTGCGTAAGTGAGTGGAGCATCTGTCCTAGCCGCTTCAGCGCAACTCACGTTTACGCAGTTAATCTGGATGATGTTCAAACCAAAAGACCGCAAGCACTGAACCGATGGAAAGATCGTTTTGCTTTATGTGAAAAGGCCTTTAATAACAGTCAGATAATTCAAGCAACACTTGGCATAAACCGCAAAAGGAATTATGTGTCATAA